GCAATGCCAAGATATTTTATTCCCGTCATAACCCATTAATTTGATGCTTCACGTTTTTGGTGCCTACTTTATTAGCTACAAAATGTGGTATAATTGTATATCTCGTGCCTGTATTTACTTGCATCGCCGTCGCTTATGTCATTAAGTTTAAGTGTCACCTCATATGCCTATTTCTTTTTGTCATCCAGACCTTCTTTCAAACTAAATACACCTATGTTTAGTAAATCGTAATTTTTGTTTATGTCGTCACTTTTGTCAAAATTAATTGTGTATTAGTATAGGATTCATGTTGTTTTCACATTAAATTTATTGTAGTATTGTTGATTCATGTTTTGTCTATATTGTGTGTTGTTTTGATTTCTATGGATATTATAGTTATTATTGTATATATTGTTCACTCTGTTGTTGAATCTTTGGTTCGATCTGTTATGACAATTGTTGACTGTCATATGTTTGTCTATTATTATTGTTAAAATTTTCATTTCTATAATAATTGTTTTGACTGTCATTAGTTTGTCTGTTCTTATTATTAAAATTTTCGTAGCTATAATAATTGTTTTGACCGTCATTAGTTTGGTTATTATTATTGATTAAAATTATTACCATAACTTGTGTCGTATCTTTGGTGATCATCATAGTACGGTCTTTGATAAGTTTGAAACCTGTCTTGATAATTGTGTCTGTTTTAATATTGGTAACGTGGGATGTAGTTTTTGTATTGATTGTTAAGCCTTAGATTTTCAGAACCAGATTGTGAGGGCCCACTATTAAACGTGGCGAATGTCAATACTGTACTAGTTGTTTGTCTACATAAAATTTATTCATAGCACTCGTAACATATTTACCATCTTTTTCGGCTTTGCATTTGTTATCTATTTCCATGGATACACTATTCTCAGTATCTGTCTAGATATCTTATAATTTACTACCTATGTTTATTAATTCATATATTGTATAAGTACTTTTTCACTTAATTTATATCTAATGGTTTGTAATAAGATGAGACTTTAATCTTTTCTAACGATCTATCAAAATTAAAATTACATTCGTTTTCTAATTTATAAATCCTTGCCACCCAGTCGGCTAACTTTTCCAATTAGCTTGTGTAGTATTATAGAATTCAATAATTTTTTTATTCCTAATTTTAGATGGAAATAAAAGCTTAAGCTTATTTATAACTGTCTGTAAACTCCTCATCTGTTGAAATGGCCCTAATCTTTTGGTAAATCCTTTCAGGTAAATTATTAGTTAATAGAAATACCCTTATTTCTGTTGCTAAGCTTACTAGTTTCGAATATCCTTAACCTTAGGAATATAATAATGCATATCGCCGATATATTGGAAAAGACAAGGAGGCCTCTGTCTCGCCCTTTAGGTAAACTGATGGTTATTTCAGAGTCAACTTTAGTGGACTTGGTTAAATATTTTAATTAATTTACTTTTTATAAAAAAATTTTTATTATATTTATGTGAAAAGTTAAAATAATTTATTCATTATATTTTTTATTATTCGTTTTAACTCTTTATTAATTTTATTTTTTATAATATTTTGATTTTATAAATATCTTTTTACTTTATATATGTCCTTTATCTCTGATAAGTACCAATCTGCTATGATAATAAATGTTTACGTGTACATTCAAAGAAAAAGGAAGAACCGCCGGAGTCTGCTTGCCACCATGCTGAATTAATATAAAAATTGTAGACTAAAATATTTTTCTGTATTTTATTCAATAGCAAATAATAGGACATAAGAGGCAATGTATAATCATAGGTACATAAAGAGTAGTGTTGTTAAACGGCTCATTTTGAGCCGATTTTTAAAAACGACTAACTCAGTATTTTATCTAGAATAATATTACGCAAGCCTAAAGATTTTGTTTGTAGAAGGAACAAAGGTTTAGACATCTTTTATGAAATCTTGAGGCTTAAGCTATGTTTTTCTGGCTAAAATATTTAGTTAGCCGTTTTAAAAAATCGGCTCAAAACGAGCCGTTTAACAACACTAATAAAGAGTAATCCAAAGTAAACGAAGTAAGCAAAATACATGAATCATTCATAATACACAATACATAATCTCTGAAGTTTAAAAAAAATGTTCTTTATATATCCATTAAAAAAAATAAATAATCATTAAAAAAATCAATTATTAAGTTACGCAAAACGAAAAATAAAATGTTCTTCTTTTAAAATTGATTTTAATAAAAAATGTAAATTGTAACGATAAAATAAAATAATAATATAAACGATTTTTTTTAAGTTAAGAAACAAAAATCTTTTATTGCCTTTAGGTATAAAATAAATATCTTTGAAATAAAATGAAAACTTATATCTAACAAATACAAAGTATGCTATAATCATAATCATTTATAAAAAATAATATAAATTTCATATAATGGTGTTATGTCCCACATGCAACAACAATGTATCCATAATAAAAGGGAATAAAATTATTTGTCATGTTAAACGTATCAATTGTCCTTCATCTGGGACTTACTTTAACAATAATGAATCTATTATGCCCCCATCTTGTTATCCTGCCCTTATTAATAACATCAATATGGAACCAACTCCTACAATTTCAAGTTTCGATAATATCTTCAATACAGAAACAATCACTACATCTATATCTTCAACTATTAATATATCATGTGAATAAGAAAGTTGATGTAAGCTTTTATAAAATAAAATTTTACTGTTATATATAAGGTAGCTGCCAAGGTTTAAGAAATATTGGCAACGCATTTATTATTATATTTTATTGAACATCCAAAAAAAGTAAATCATACAAAAATCTCTAATATATATATATATAATACATATTTTATTTTAAATCATAAGGTTCCAAATAAACATTTCTTTCAAATTGAAAGAAGAAAATCTTATAATTTTCCGATGTCCTCACTACGTCATCGTGACGTCATGTGATCGCTACGTCATGTCATCGCTACGTCATGTCATCGCTACGTCATGTCATCGGTACGTATTTATTTATTTATTTGTTGATTTTTTTATAAACAGATGTTCATACCAAATTCTGAAATCAGAAGAAGTAATTTTTGTTCATTTTTTATACTCCTCTTCAGGTTCATTGCATTTATATTCTTTGTTTTTATTTTAGATAACAAGCCCTGTCTTACTCTCATTTAATGATTGTACAGGTGGTATATTGACTCCTCATCAAGTTCAATGCATTTATTTTTTTTATTTATTCTTTTGTTTCTATTTTAGATAACAAGCCATGTCCTAAACCCAGTTAATGATTGTACAGGTGGTGATTTATCCGTCATTAATAAAAGAAAAAGATGGCTGATCAATCAAAAAAGGAAACGCACTAGGGATAGCGAGGCCCTACAAAATCTACTAACAACTCAAAATAAAGTTAGCCTTATATATATATTTTTTTTATACTCTTTTATATTATAGAATACATCTATTTTAGCTTCTGATAATGTCCCCACTATTTCTAGGGAGTTGAACCTAATACTCACTCCTCTTCAGGTTCATTGCATTTATATTCTTAATATTATTCTTTGTTTTTATTTTAGATAACAAGCCCTGTCTTACCCTCATTTAATGATTGTACAGGTGGTATATTGACTCCTCATCAAGTTCAATGCATTTATTTTTTTATTTATTCTTTTGTTTTTATTTTAGATAACAAGCCATGTCCTAACCTCAGTTATTGATTGTACGGTGGTGATTTATCCATCATTAATAAAAGAAAAAGATGGCAGATCAATCAAAAAAAGAAACGTACTAGGGATAGCGAGGCCCTACAAAATCTACTAACAACTCAAAATAAAGTTAGCCTTATATATATATTTTTTTATACTCTTTTATATTATAGAATACATCTATTTTAGCTTCTGATAATGTCCCCACTATTTCTAGGGAGTTGAACCTTATATTGACTCCTTTTCAGGTTCAATGCATTTATATTTTATAATTATTCTTCTGTTTTTATTTTAGATAACAAACCCTTCTTTTTCCTCCTTATAATTGTTTAAATAATGATATATCTACCATTAATAATCAACAAATACAAAATAAATGTTCAGAAAAACACGATAGTCTTGACAAGTCCCCAACTAGACAAATTTTATTTTTTGATGATAGCCTCCCAACTACTAGAGATATGCATATATTGACCCCTTTACAGGTTCAGTACAGTATTTTAATGTTCGTTTTATTTCAATAATAATGTTTTATATTTATGCCTGATTTCCTTATTTTTTTTAGGTTAACCCAAACTTAATCCCTCACATAGCTACAAAACATGATATTTCTATTAAAGATAAGCAAAGAAAAAAATGGCAACTCAACAAACGCCTTACCCGTTCTAGAATTACAGGTATGCAGGATAATAAGGACCTACGCCTGATATTAACTCCCTTGCAGGTTTTTAATGTTTTATATATATAGGTTTATTTTTAATCACCCAGATACCGTCAACTGATATTTCTATAACCACTACCACATTCCCTATGGCACCTCTACCATGTATATTTCGACATATATTTGATGACCACCACTCACCTATATTAGATATCGGAAATATGACAGAAATATGCGCCTTCTGCAATGTTAAAATGTGGAATGGAGAAAAATTATCAAAAAGCTCATGTAGAAATATTCAGTTTTCTACATGTTGTTTGAATGGGAAGGTATTTTTATCTAAAATTTCCCAATTACCACCAAATTTATTACGTTTATTTACAGGGAATCATTGTTCATCATTCCACTTTTTAACAAACATAAGAGCATATAATGCCGCACTGTCATTCACTTCACTAGGAATTAATATAAATAATAATTTATCCAATTCGCGATCAGGTAATTATACCTTTCAAATTAATGGACAGGTTCATCATCGCATTAGTTCACTCCTACCAACATTAGGGGAAACTCCTAAATTTGCCCAATTATATATACATGATAGTATAAATGAGATAGAAAACAGACATAACCAGGTTCCGTTTTTAGATCGTTGTCTTTTAATGGAATTGCAGGATATTGTTCACACCTACAACCCCTTTGCTTCTCAATTTTTGAGAGTATCTTCTATGATCGCTACTGGCGTTCCTAACATATCCTTAAACTTAAAATCTACTCCAAATTTTGACGTACGTTATTGCAATAAACCTACCTCATCTGAAATAGCAGTATTATTACCTGGTGATGGCAGTGATCATATAGCCCATAGAGATATTATCTTAAAAACTCTATCTGGTCCTTTAAGACGTATTAATGAGCTCCATTCCTCATACGATCCCTTGCAATATGTTCTTCTATTTCCCAGAGGCGATATTGGATACCATCCATCCATTCATTATAGAAACTCAACTAATAAATATGTTACCTGCAGAGAGTACTATACCTATCGCTTTATGGTCAGGCAGGATGATGAGAATGTTATTTTAAGATCCAAACGTCTTTTTCACCAATTTATTGTCGACAGTTATGCCAAACAGAAAACGCTTCGATTAAATTTTATACGTAATAATCAATCCAAATTACGCGCCGAACTCTATCAAGGCATACATGATTCTATTTTAGAGGGAGATACTAATGCTGACAATCTTGGCAGAAGAATAATTTTGCCTTCTTCTTTTACCGGTGGCTCAAGGAGGCATATGCATCAGCTTTATCAGGACGCAATGGCTATTGTACGCTGCTTTGGTAAACCATCATTATTCATTACTTTCACCTGCAACCCTAAATGGGATGAAATAATGCGTGAATTATTTCCTCATCAGACCCCAAACGACCACCCAGATTTAGTTTGTCGCGTTTTTCGTCAAAAATTAAAATGTCTAAAAAAGGATTTGCTCTATTATCATGTTCTTGGCAAAGTCATCGCTTATATAGATGTCATAGAATTCCAGAAAAGAGGTTTGCATTGTCATATGTGCCTTATACTAGATAAATCTCATAGGCTACCAACGGCTGATACTTATGATGATGTAGTTTGTTCTGAAATTCCTAACAAAATAACTGAGTCTAAGCTGTTTCAAATTATTAGCAATTTTAATACACATGGGCCATGTGGTATTACATTTCCTAATAGTCCCTGCATGATTGATGGAAAATGCTCAAAAAAATATCCTAAATCATTTGTGGATACCTCTTCTATTGATAAGTATGGTTATCCTTTATATAGGCCACGAAATGATGGCGTTACCTTCCAAAAAAAAATTAAACGGATTTATATTTAACAACCGTTGGATTATTCCTTATAATAAACATTTATCAAAAAAATATAATGCACATATAAATGTAGAAATTTGTTCATCTGTCCAGTCCATAAAATACCTTTATAAGTATTGTTACAAAGGCCATGACAGAACTACTGCTTCCGTTTCCATTAATAATGTTGATGAAACTACCCAGTTCATTGATGCTCGATATATATCCGCCATAGAATCGCTATGGCGTACTTTGGATTTTGAAATGCAGGATCATTCTCCTGCAGTCTATCGTTTAGACCTTCATCTACCCAATCAACATATAATCCTTTTTCAATCAAATACTGATATAAATAATATCTTAACTAAAAATCCTGGTACAAAATTAACCGAATGTTTTAAAATTAATCAACTTGACACAGATGCCAGACATTATATTTATGCAGATTTTGTAAGATATTATGTGTGGAAACCTCTATCTAAACAGTGATTAAAACGAAAAATGGGTGGTAATAAAGTTATAGGCCGTATACGCACAGTTTCTCCTAAAGAGGGTGAGGTTTTTTATTTAAGACTATTACTTAATTATGTTACTGGGCCTACATGCTTTGAAGATCTACGCTCTTTTAATGGAATTATCAGTAACACTTTTAAAGATGCATGTATTCGACGTGGTCTGTTATCAGATGATGCGGAATGGAACCATTGTTTAGAGGAAGGTCTTTCATTTAAGATGCCATATCAATTGCGCCAGTTATTTTCTTTTATTTTATTACATTGTGAGCCGATAGATCCTCTAGGTCTATGGAATTCTTTTAAATTTTATCTTTGTGAAGATTTTTCCAAGAAAATATCACCAGAGCCGGATAACCTTATCACCGAAAATCTCGCGCTATGCCACATCAATCAAATTTTGATTCAAAATGGTAAATCTCTTAAGGATTTTTTGGGAATGCCTATCCCTTTATTATCCACCCAATCTCCATCTGCTACAGCTAATATTAGGTGTCACCTTATTCGGGAGGAAATTTCCTACGATACTGATGATATATAAAAAATATTTGGCTAACTACAATTTATTTAATCGGGATCAAAATATTATCTATGCCAAAATTATGTCCTTGCCCTCCACTCCATCCCATAATTTATTTTTTATAGATGGTCCTGGTGGTACTGGAAAATCATTTCTATTAAATACAATATTATTTAACTTGAGAGCTCAAGGTAAAATTGCTATAGCTGTTCCATCTTCTGGCATAGCTTCAACTCTTCTTCATAATGGCCGTACTGCACATTCACGTTTCAACATCCCCTTAAGTATTCATGAAAGTTCCTCATGTAATATTCCTTTACCAAAGCCAAATAGCTGAATTGATAAGACAATCGGTAATTATAATATGGGACGAAATATCAATGACTCATAAACATATATTCGAGGCCGTGGATAGGTCATTTCAGGATATAATGAAATTAGACAAACCGTTTGGTGGTAAAATTATTATTTTTGGCGGAGATTTTAGACAGATTTTACCTGTTATTAAACGTGGTGGAAGATGCGACATTGTTAACTCAACCTTAAAACGATCCTATTTATGGTCACATATAGTGCCATTAAGGTTATGTATTAATATGAGACTTCTACAATTTCAGGAAGCAAATGATTATCTTATTAATAATAAATACTCACAATTTCTTTTAAGAGTTGGTGAAGGCTGTGAAACATTCGATGGCTCCAGGGATAAAATAAAAATTCCTCAAGATTGTTGTATAGCTTCCAATGATATCGAGGATCTTATTGCTTTTGTTTACGATATAGACAAAGACAATTCATCATTTAACCGAACATCCTTTGCTCAAAATGCAATCCTGACCCCTAAAAACGTAGATGTCGATTCTATAAATATTAAATTGATTAACAAAATTCCGGGAGATTTAATTACATACATAAGTGCTGATGAAACCATAACCGAGGATGAAGCGACGTTTTATCCCACTGAATTTTTAAACTCTTTAAGTATATCAGGATTACCACCTCACAAACCTTTACTCAAAGTAGGGGTACCTATAATATTAATGAACTTAAATTCTGCTTCTGGTTTGAATAATGGGACTAAATTGATTATAACTTCTTTGCTACCAAATATAATTGAGGCGGAATTTGTTTCTGGTAGTTTTCTCAGTACTAAAGTTCTCATTCCTAGAATAAGTTTAATCCCTACAGATTCTGGCTTGCCATTTTCCTTTAAGCGCCGCCAATTTCCCGTGAGACCTGCTTTTGTCATGACAATTAATAAAGCTCAGGGACAAACGTTGAACAAAGTTGGCATCTATTTACCTCATCCTGTTTTTTCACATGGACAGCTATATGTGGCTATGTCTCGAGTTTGTTCTCCTCATAAATTAAAGATTATAACCAATGATAAAACAAAGACTACTACCAATGTGGTATATCATGAGGTTATATCCGATTAATCCCGGTTTATACGAATAAGAATGAACATTACTTAGTATGATATTATTTTATAATTTAAACAATTTTATATTATTTAAGCATCCTTTTGTCAGGCCGCTCAATATGCCCTTTTATCTCTGATGAATATTTTGTCTAATTGAAAATTATATCAAAGTACATTTTTAAAATTTAACTAAATGAATATAACAATTTTTAAGGATCCTACTTTTTTAAAAGCTTACCATTTTGTCGGATCCACCATTGCTCTATTATCCCTGCTGATTATTTTGTATAACGCACAAAAAAATATACATAGTACATTATTTTTATTATAAATAATATTATATATTATTTTATATCTATTCCAAAAAATCTTCATTTTATTTCAATAATAATGTTTATTTATATTTTTGCCTGATTTCTTTATTTGTCTAGGCTAACCCAACCTTATTCCCTCACATTGCTACAAAACATGATGATTCTATTATTAAAGATAAGCAAAGAAAATAATGACGAATAAACAAACGCCTTACCCGTTCTAGAGTTACTGGTAGACAAAATAATAAAGAACTACGCTTGAAATGAACTCATCTGGAGGTTTTTTTTTATCTTATGTTTTATATCTATGTTTATTTTATTTTCACCCAGTTCTCCAAATGATATTTCTATCACCACTATCACAATCCCTATGCCACCTCCACCTATTTTTTAACAAAAATAAACATTTTTATTTATCACTAAATTTTATTATCTCATTCTTTTCTTTCTATCTCTATTATCTATTAACCACTATATCTCAAAACCTTATCCCTTTAATTTATATAATATAATATAATCTTTTATACCTTCTTTTTCCCCCCTTTTTTAATCTAATTTTTTAATTACCTTACAATTAATTAATCTTTATCTTAATAACATTACATTTATCATGTTATTTTTTAACTTTTATAATATCATAATAGACTTGATAAATCCCCCAAAAATTTTATTTGATGATAGCCCTCCAACTTATTAGAAATATGCATCTAATATTGACCCTTCTACCGGTTTTACATTATTTTAATGTTTGTTATTTCAACAATAGTATATTTATATTTTTGCCTGATTTCTTTATTTGTCTAGGCTAACCCTAATCCCTCACATTGCTACCAAACATGATGAATCTATTATTAAAGATAAGCAAAGGAAAAAATGGCGATTCAACAAACGCCTTACCCGTTCTAGAGTTACTGGTGGCCAAGATAATAAGGCACTGTGAACTCCTCTGGAGGTTTATTTTGTTTTTTTATCTAATGTTTTATATCTATATGTTTATTTTATACACCCAGTTGCCTCCAAATGATATTTCTATCACCACTACCACAATCCCTATGCCACCTCTGCCTAATTTTTAACAAATATAAGCATTTAATTCCACTATCATTCATCTCATTAGGAGTTATTATAAATAATACTTTATCCGATTCCCTGAGGAACTTTTATGAATATTTAGAGAGATGTTCAAACGTGAATGTGTAGTGCAGCCAATTTCATTAACATTATTAATGGGAAAATATGCGGTAGTTTTGTCATGGCCTTTATAACAATACTTACGACCGTTTTATGGTTGAGTTGACAATGTCGTTCATGATTCTATTTTAGAGGGGTATACCAAAATTGACACTTTGGCAGAAATATCATTTCGCGTTCTTCTCCTCAGCTTTATCAGGATGCAATGGGTGTTGTACACTGCTTTGGTAATCCGTCATTATTCATTACTTTCACCTACAACCCTAAATGGGATGATATTATACATTAATTTTTTCTTCTGCAGACGACTGCCCAGATTTATTTTGTCGCTTTTTCCATCAAAAATTAAAATGTCATAAAGGATTTGCTCTTATTATTACCAGATACACAGAGTAATAATTAATCCTCAGCATTTTTTAAAAAAAATACCTAAATTTATATGGCAAGAAAAACAAATTTCTTAAAAAATATATAAATAAATTGCATATAAGTTTCATTAGTATTGAATGGCATTTTTGTAATTTAAATAGATAGCTTTTTTTTGTACAAAAGATTTAGATAGCCCTTATCAAATTTTTTGATAAAAGGAGTTAACCCACTAATTGGTAAATCCGAGATTTCCCCTTCATGTGTTGATAAATTATTTAGAAATTTAACTATCTCCGGGTTTGGGAAATAGTTTTGAAACTTAATATGTGATGGACTGGGCTTAAAAAATATTCCTCAAGATTAATATTTGCTTGCACCTGACTTGGGAATATCTTATACAAATTATTATGGGCCAGGATAGGAAAAAATTTTCAAAATTATTATGGGTTGAGCTAGATTTGAGAATTTTTTTTATAAATTATAAGGTCTTGAACGCGTGGAAATTTTTTCAAATATTATGAGCTTGGACCTGGCTTGAAATTTTTTAATGTTAAATGTTAGTCTTATGTAACCAGTAATATATTTACAAAGAATTTTGGTATTGGGTACAAGCTCATTTAAATATATTTTGACTCAAATAATAGTTTCCACTCTTAGTCCTAATGGGTTGGACTCAATGACATTGCTTGGACTTGACCTAAATGGAGAGGGGGGGGATTTAAAAATTATATAAATTGGATATGATTTTTAAATAAAAGGTAACATCTTTCTTAAAAAACGAATAAAATTCTCATTCTCCGTCATTTTTGACTGGCTATCTACTAGTAATATTTTAAGTTACGTCATGTAGTGTGATTAAAAAATCCGATGATTTGGGTCTATCTTAAAACGGCCTAATTAAGATTTTTAACAAAGTAATAATTAAGCCTCGAGTTTTGGCAAATAATAGTTAAAACATTCTGCCATCTATGAGCAAAATTACCGGGCTTAGAAAATATTATATTATTTTAGCTAAAATCTTAATCGGTCATTTCAAAAATCGACTCAAATTAGGATTTTTAACAATACTAAAGCTAAAAGAGAATAACCAAATTAGAAAATTAGAAAATTATAACATCAGTTTTAAAACTATAAAAAATGAAAGAAAACTAATAATAATATTATTTATTTTTAAACTATATGAAAAGAAAGAAATCTAGAACGAATTGAACTTATAATGAGATTAATTAAATAATAGATTTATTTAAGTTATATTAAGTCGTGATAAAAAAAAATTAAATATGTTGTAAAATGAGTTATTATTACTGTAAAAATGTCATATATCATATATGTAATATGATTAACAAATAATTATACAAAAGAAAAAAATTATCTGATTTTATAAAAATCAATTATAATCCAGTGATCCTTAAAAAATATCAATATAATATATAAACAAAAAACATAATCAATAATCGCAATGTAATCCATATTATTACTAGTAGTGTTTTTAAATTGTTTTTTTTACCTAAAACCCTAGTCGTATTCAAAGAAATCGGCCCAACCCCACGTCAGAGTTGAAAAATCGACCACGAACAAACCCGGTCCATTGGTTTTTAACTTCACATGTAAATGTTGAATATAAAAAATATATATTTATGTTTTGAGCCAAAGTTTTTGATATGAGAAAGAGGTACCAAAACCATTAGGTGTAGTAATAAGTTGTCATTGTCACTGCATTATATTTTAGTCCACGAGAAAAATCAGAATGTGATAATTTTAAAAAACTTTGTTGTAAGTCTAGTTGAAAGTTTTTAAAGTTTCCAAAACCCATGGGTTCATAAATATATTTCCAGTGTCATTATTTTTTTTACCTCCACACGTATTATGGAGAAATAAATTATGTATTTAAGTTTTATGCCTAGTAAAATGTTCTTGATATTATAAAGAAGTTCTAAAAACATTGGGTCTAGTAACAAGTTGTCACTGCCATTATATTTAAATCTATGAGGAAAATAAAAATTTGAAAAAATTAAAAAACATTGTTATAGGTCTGGTTAAAAGTTTTTAAATATTTTTTTAAAACATTTGGGTTTATTGAGATATTTTTAGTGCCGATATCTTTAACTCCCGGATAAAATGTAGAAATATAAAAAATATTTTATTTATGTTTTGAGCCCAATAAAAAGTTTTTGATGATAGAAAGAAGTTCTAAAACCATTGGGTTTAGTAATAAGTTCTCACTATATTATACTTTAGTCTATGAGGAAAATTTTTTTTTAAACTTTGACTATTTAAGATTTTTAGAGATTAGAAAGATTTCTAAAATCTTTGAGTTCATAAAGAATTTATAGTGCCATTATTTTGCAATCCCACACGTAAAATAAAGAAATTTAAAATAAATACATTGACTTAACGAACTCACTTTTTTCGAAAATATTTCATAAGTCAATGTCAATTAGTGATCTGCATCGGGGCTAATTTTTCAAGCCCGGCCCAGTCAGAAATTTTTTTTAAAAAAGTTTTGCCGGCCCGGCCCGAACCCAAAATTTTTTTAAAACAATTTGAAGGCCCGGCCCGAACCCGAAATTTTTTTAAAAAATATTTACCGGCCCTAATTTATTTAAATATAGAAATTAATTTTATAATTACTCAAAATAAAAGACATATGTTATATGGCATTTAGTTTCAATAAATAAAATCAAAAATTTTTATTAAACATAAAAATTCAATATAAAATTGATAAATTTAGATATATTTAAAAAAAATTCCAAAATCCGACCCGACCCGGCTTGAATTTTTTCAAAAATATTAGACCCGGCCCTAACCCGATTATTTTAAATAAAATTAGGCCCGAGCCCGGCCCGAAGCCCCCTCGGGTCGGACTAGGGCCGGGTTCTAACTTTGCAGATCTCTAATGTCAATATTTGTCTCTTGCAAATGACAGACACAACAGTTATTTTATTTTGTAAAAAAATATCTAATATGACAATAGTATTATCATTTCACGATTATAATACAATGTTATTTTTGAGACAACAAAAATTAAATCTTAAAATATTCGTAACCAATTTTTTGCAAGTAAGGCTTCCCTCTTTGATCATTCTCAGATTTTTTTATGTAGATATTTTAGAGAACTTTACAGCCAGAATATAAATTTCTATGAAAAAAAAAGATTCTTTTTTTCCTATGTTTGTGGTAGTGGGTGCTACAAATGAAAGTATAGAATATCAAGTTTAAAAAGTTATTACTGAACTTTTTAACGATATCAATCGAACTTGAATATCAAAATTGAACATTTTATTTCACCAGAAGCTAAATAATATATATTAAAATTTTCTTGTTTAGGATAAATATTCTATTGATATAAACATTAAATCTCTCAATATCGATAATAATCATTTAAGATAGAATAAGGAAATTATACTTAAAATCAGCTACCTCCCACCCTTAAAGTAATTAAATTATATTGAAGTTCTCGGGTATAGGCTTTTGTTTTTGCTAAACTCTTCCTTTCTTAGTCTAGGAATAGGGACTTTAAATAACAGTCCTCGGACTGTTGTGTGCAAGTAAATGCGGTTTGCCCACAAAAGTTTTTAGGGCTCATCATTTCTAATTTTTCCCTCAACTAAATTTAATCCAGCTCTGTTGAACCTTCAACGATAGAGGGCATAAGCGCTATAAATCACATATAACGTAATATTAACAATAGATTTATGTATCTTTTTCCATCATTTAGAAAGACTGGGATGCACCTCTGATCCCCCGTTCCGTTGAATACCTTATTTCGAACAGGCCCTTTGAGGACAATCCCAATAATTTAGTATTATATGCAAGCTCAGGTTACTAATAGCTGGAAGCCATCCCCAGTTCCAATCTTGGCCTCCTCTTGACTGGCGAACAGCTAAACATTTCCATAGCCCTCCGATTCTGTAATGTCGTGGTTCCCTCAATTTGCATTGACTGTGGCCATCCCATCGAATCGAAAGCTTACCATCCCTTGCACTGCAAATTCTCATATGGACGACAACCGAGTCTTAAATCATTAACAACATCCTCCTAGCAGCTATTAAAAAAGTTAATATTACACCCACCCTCGAACCAGTGGGCCTCTCAAACAAAAACGCCATACACCCCGATGGCATATCTCTCATTCCCTGGACCAATGGTCTCCCACTAGCTTGGGACTATACCTGTGTCGATTTTGCCGTCAAGTTCAACCTCTCATTTTCTGCCATCGAAAAGATCGAAATCCTAAAAAAAAAAATATGCTTGCCTCATCAATACCGTGTTTATCCCAATCGTTACCAATACCCTTGGCATGTTCGGAAGTGATGTTCTCAATTTCATCATAACTATAGGGAAAAAAATGAGGCAGATCTCAGGGGATCCCAATGAAGGATTTTAGAAATCTACCGGTCCAATTTTTTAAGCATTCACTCTCCTCTAGGGTGATTTGTACCCTTTTTTTTAAATTTTATTTTTTTTATCTCATTTCTCTTCTATACATATATATTTTTTAATTCATTTTTAATATATTATTTGTTTTTCAATATATATTTTTAATTATAATTTGTAAATGAAAAATTTGTTTTTTTAAATAAAATATTACCCATTCAAAAAAAAAGAATTTTTAATATATTGAAAAACTATTTATTGTCTACTTGAAAAAAAAATCATTCATTTCCCTTCCTCTTCATTTTTTAAAAAATATGACATCTCAAAATAAACAAGAAAAAACATTTCTTGCTGTCAAACCTGACGGTGTGCATAGAGGTTTAGTTGGTAAAATAGTATCTCGTTTTGAAAAAAAAGGTTTTAAATTAGTAGCTATGAAATTTATTCAAGTAATAAGATTATATTTCCACTAATTTTTACATATATATATGTAGGCTCCTGAAGAATTATTATATCAACATTATCGTGACTTAAAAGATAAGTCTTTTTTCAGTGGATTAGTCAAATATATGGCATCAGGGCCTGTTGTGGCTATGGTAGAATTTATTAAATAATATAATATTTAATTCTCAGGTATGGGAAGGTGAAAATGTGGTAAAAACTGCTAGATTTATGTTGGGTGAAACTGATCCTAAAAAATCATTGCCTGGTTCAATACGAGGAGATTTTGCAATCCAAGTTGGAAGGTGTATTTTCTATATATATAATATTTGTTAATAAATTATATTAAAGGAATATTATACATGGTAGTGATTCTGTTGAAAGTGCAAATAAGGAGATTAATCTATGGTTTAGAGCTGAAGAATTAGTTAGCTGGCATAAAATTGATCAGAGCATGATTTATGAAGACTAACAGAATTGATTTATTTGACTAGACTAATTATTAATTAATTTTTATGACTTGACAAATTGTTAATTTATATCCAAAAAAAATTGCCAAATAGTATTTTATATTATTTAAAAGACAAATAAAAATTTTGATTTAATTAATTTCTGTGTGATAACAGATAAATAATAAATGGTAATTATTATTAAAAATTTGTTTTTTAAAAGAATATTTTGTTTTAATTATTATATTACTTCTATATACTGTTTAATTTTTCTTTTTTACAAAATATGTAAATTCAAATCAGAAACCTACAGGATGGTGATAATATCATCAATTAATATAAGCTCATGGCCTTAAAATATGAATGTTATATTTCTTACTTATTCTTCCTCTCATTTTTCTAAAAAAAATTTGGAGATTGGAAATATTTGCTCTTCATTTTTATATAATATTTTATGATGATAATTTTAAAAATCTTTTTATATTTTGTACATATCAATGGAATTTTATATGGGGAAAATTGTAACTTATAGCAGATAATATATTTTAAAAAATCACTTAATTGACAGATTTTTAGGCAAAAGGCTTTCAATTTTTAATGACAGATCCTTAATTAAGAATTTCTGCTCTCACTCAAATTTCTTAACATATTTTCAGCTTTACCTTTGTGTGCCTGATCTTTTTGCTATTAGACGTTTTTATTAAATGATATGTATTTATATAAATTAATGTTGTGATTTGGAATTATTGGGACATTCATATTAAAAAAATTACAATATATTTTGAATGATAAGTAATAAAATTGTGATTTTTATTTAAACCTCTACATTTTATACATTCAAATGTGGAATAACCATTTATGCATTTCTTGCATTGTTTATTATCTACTGATGGTAAATTATCAAATCTTATATATTTTATTGGATAAAAACTATTAAATTTCTATCATTTTCCTTTCTAACTATCCTCAATCCTTTAGTTATCTTAGCTTTAAATACTAAAGGAGACATGTGTTTGCTATTTTTTTTTCCATATAGCATCTATAGAGTAACCACTAATTCACAACAGGAATTTAATTGTAAGAAAATATGTACAAAATTCCATTTTAAGTAAGTTCTTTAGAGTTAAATCAAGATATCCTGGTCCCACCCATACCACCATTATAAACTGAACTGGAGATCTGCAAATCACGGCTGAATAGGTCTATTTAAAAAAAACTATTTTGGGTTGGGCCTAATTGTGTTGTTAATTGGTTGGTTATACCCAGAGCTCTGAGCATGAACCCCTAGATCAGACCGGGGTCCAGACCCAGAGAAAACCCATTTATTTTTAATTGAACTTAGGAAAGTATATATGTTCAATATAGGTATCAATCGAGAGTTAACAAAAGATCTGTTCATTAGGAGGACAAGTGTTTCCTCTTAATGGGCTAATATAGGGCTTGGAGGGTCAGGAATATTTTTATCAACACGATAATTATATGGTAGGCCTATTCAAATAATATTATAATCGAATAATTACGAATACAAATAATAAATTATTTATTTTATCCAAATAAAAATAATTATTTATTCGATTCGAATAAAAATAATTATTGGGTATATTTAATAAATTGCTTTTAATAAATCTAACATTGTCATTTCTATTTGATGACCTTCCAATCTCACAGGTAATGTGTTTATAAAAAGACTAGCATAAATTTAAAAAATCTCTGAAGTGAAAATTAAAGCAATATTTAAAATTATATTAAAAAATTACACAAACCAATGGCATATAAAAATATAATACATTTCTAAAATAAATTATTGTTAGTAGCCTAATTATGTTAGAGGAGAATGCTTCTGATGAAATAGTTAGGTTGATATTTAATTTGACAAAATTTCCTCACAAAAAGAGAGATTATATGGGATCAATATCAGATCAATAAGGCTGCTTGCAATCATAGAGAATTATAAAATGTAAAGACAAAACAACATCCCCTCTTATTAATCATTATAATAGGTTCATTCACACCTAGGTATTACCTATCTATACAAGCAGTGGCGTAGCTACGGGGGTGGTTTTCGGGTTTGGACCCCTTCCAGAGCTAAATCTTTTTTCTAGAATATACGTTCAAAAGACTTAAAAGTGACTTTATAATAAATAAATGCCATTAATATTTATATTTTTCTGGTTTTGATGTTTGTAAAAGGATTATATTACTATTGAAATTATTCTGGATAGTATTATTATAAAGTCATTGAGAATGGTCTACTAAATTATAATAACATATTATTGATACATTTAAAAAATGTATTTATTCTATATTATAGAAGATATGGTTATGATTTGTAAGATTAAATCGGCCGAAGGCCGGGGAAAAGGGCCGAAGACTCGTTAATGGCACCCAGGCTTTTATATGTATGGACCCCCTCTAAGAAAAATTCCTAGCTACGCCACTGTATACAAGGAACATCAACTGTTTGCGAAAGACTTTTCTTAGTTGGAACTAATTTGTTGTCAAAAAATCGCATGTCATATAAGGAAGAAAATATAAGAAAAACTCTGCCTTAAATATTGGCTTAGAATTATGAATTAAATTAATATAATTTTTAATTTTGTTTATAACTTGATACATATTTTTTATCATCAGATTATTGATTACATATTTTTTATTATCAGATTATTATAATAATTATTTCTGTTTGAAATTTGCAATAAAAAAATTTGTCAATATATTTGAGCATGATATATTTTATTAAGAAAATTAATTTCAATTATTCGAATAATTCGAATCGAATTCAAATAGTAGATTTAATTATTTGTACGAATACGAATAGTAAATTATTCGAATTCATTTTTGAATAGGCCTTTTATATGGGTATCAAATAAAAGGTGTCTTAATTATATCCTGAGCTTAACTGTAAGCAGAGTTGTACAAAAGATCTTCTTTGAAGATTTTTGAGCGAGATCTAGCTCAAAAATTTGAGCAAGATCTTTGAAGATCGTAAAATTTGAAGATCTTTTATTTTTTAAAAATTTTGTGTAACGATCTAAAGATCTTCATGATAATTATTTTTTTACCCCTTTATTTAAAGCCAGATGTTTTTCAATTTTCATCAAGGCAGGAGGAGAGGTATAAAACATAAAAGAAAGATCTTTGAAGATCGTTACACAAAATTTTTAAAAAATAAAAGATCTTCAAATTTTACTGAAGATCTTTTTATTTTGAGAAAATGTACAACTCTGACTGTAAGCATAATTAATATTCTAAGTGGGTTGGCCTAAGTCTTTAGGGGTCAGAAATATTTTAAATAATGTAAGATATTGATATGGGTGTCAATGTAATTTAATTATATCGTGGGGATAGAATTCGAGTGCTCCACTCGACATTTTCAAAATTTTGAGTTAAAAGTGGATAATAACTTATTTATTCCTAAAGACAAGCGGGGAAAAGTCTTGTCTAAAATAGAATAATTAGATGTCGGTCTTGAGAATATTGCTTCGTAGAATGGATATTAATAGTAGGAATTTAACTCAATTTAAATATAATAATCAAGTAAAAAACAGTTTTATTTTTATATAAAATTAACAAAATTATATATAATGTAAAATTAACTGATATAAATGTAATTTTCTCATGAGATTTAAATATAAAAATATAATATCTTTTTTTATAAAATGTAAATCAATTACAGTTATAAAACATAGCTGCAAACTCTAACAATTTAAAAGTAATATAAATTGAGTAATAATAAAAATAAAAGTTAATATAGTACATATTATGTAACACGCATCACTCCCCCCCCCCCCCAAAAAAAAAAAAAAATAATAAAAAAAACTTAGTATCGAGGGACAAATGGTAATGGGAATTAATTTTGGGAAATCATAAAAACTATGAAAAGTAGGTGATAAAATATAATGACAAGAATTATACATTTGTATTCAGGATTGCCAGGTCAAAATTTTTAAATTGCGGGAGAAATTTGGTATTATGCGGAAGAAATATGAAAATTGCTAAAAAAAATTTTTTGCGGGCCTGACTTAATTATCCGCATATTATTTTTATAATTAGTTTATATAAATACAAAGTCGATAACTATTTTTCAAAATAAAATACGTCTTGATTTATTAGAATATATTAATTTATAAAAAAAACCAACGATCTTTTTTAAATATAAAAGAATGTAAACAAGATAAAATTTTATTAAAAAAAGCGATTTTAATTTTACAATTAAAAATATATTTTATGTGAATGTCCCGCAAAACGGCCGCAATTGGAAATCTACCGTGTGTGTGTATAACATTATAGGGATAGGCGCTTAATTATCACGTATCATTAAATACATAATAAGGTACTCCAAAAATAAGAAATAATACAGATGTAACTACAGTGGTGGCAATTTTAATCACTTATCTTTTAGTGCAACATTCACAGAGATACTTATCATCACAATGTTGGTAGAATCTTTTTCCCATAATATTTAACGACTCTAATATAAATGAAAACTATACTTGTAGTACAAAAATGAGCAAGGCTATCATCAATGTTTTAGGACCTAAATCCAGGAGGTCAATTCCCGACGATTTGAAAGATGGGCATACATATGCAATTCTAACAGATGCATATAATAAGGGAAATATTTTAAAAAATACCTTGATCCTTAGCTATTTTAACAAAATTAAGGTAGTTTCAATAAAACTATTAAATTTTTTTCCCTCAAATTGTGAAAAATCCAAAGACATAATGGTAAATATAGCAGATTCGAGATTATCAATAAATTGCATGTCTGCTTTATGATCTGATAATGCCTCAGTGAATTTGGTAAAAACAGAGTGTATTTACAGAATTGAGTCAGCACAATGTTGGTTGGGATATGTTCCTAATATCTGCCACCGATAGAATTTTAAAATTTTATAAACCTTTAAAAAAATATTTCTTAAATAAAGATTATAAAAGCTGTCCTAACATTTTGAAAATTTTTTTCCAATAATGAATGGCAGAGGTATATTTAGGAATGATTTTACATGTAGGAAATTTACTAAATGCTGTTAATGTGTAGTTGCAATCAGAAGAATCTTAACAAAGATTCACCAAATTATGCTGCAGATGTGTTCATCTTTACAGTAAATAATTGACAATAAATTTTATAGCGCCATTGCTA